CAGACAGCTGTAAAAGAGGATACTGTACTACGTGTAATCCAAGTAATTCATAAGATTGATACTTTTAAAAATAAGTTTCATAAATATTATTCTTTATTATTTAGCGATGGTTAGAAAAAATCTATGATAACACATCATTCAATTTTCACAATATATTTGCATCAGTAATACAACGTATGATTGATCATGAAAAACAAGAAAGTATTTTCGTATGTATCAAACTACTATTATTATTAAATTTTTTCATAAAGAAATAGCACATAAATATCTCATTTGTTTTTCAATGAATAGAATGGTACTGATGAAAAAACCGCAGAAAGAAAGGCAACGGCAATAACACAACAGTTTGAAACAATAATTAATGAAAATGAATATAGTAAACTTCTGAAAAACGGTGAACGCCGAATTAGTCAAAAAGCAATGTTGTCTGCATTAATGATTTCACTGTATTATCAAGAGCCTTATTTTCAACAAGCCTACAAAATGCTTAGTTTGCTTATCGATATTGATGGTTTGATGGCAAGTTGGCGTTGTATGTAAAACAATTGCATGTCTCTTGTAAACATATCAAAAATATTCTGTTGTTCATAAATAAACATTTTGTTTTGGTTCAACATGAAATCGGTCGGAAACCTGGTACTGGTGGTACTCGAGGTTTTTCTTATCTGCAGAAAACTATCTGGTAAGAATGAACGATTATAAATAGAGTTGATTGTGAATAAACTAAAAGCACTTTAAACATTTTCAATTAAAAGAAACGAATAAAATGTTTGCATTACAATCAAAATTAGAAGTTTTTTTCTTGAGAAAATTATTGATAATCTAATGATTTGATTTTTATACAAATAAAAAAATTGAGCATTTGTATTTTATAAATTATTTATATTATTTCTCAATAATTCTTGTTCAATAGTTTAAATTGATTTTTATATGTTTTATATCTGGTGAGTTGAAAAAATTTTCTAGTTAAATATGTGATAACATTTTCGAGCAGACCTTCATGATTCATATAATTCCGTATCGGGATAAAGCATGTCGTTTTTCTTCATTATAGTGACAAATATCAAGTATTTATTGATTTATCCAATGTTTCTTCATATTTGATTCCTGAACGATTTTTACCAAAATTTATTGAAAACTCGACAGAATCGGCTACAAGTATATCATCAATAACATTTCAATCTTGTAGTGAAGTTCCAATTATTCATAAACAACAATCATACAAGCCCAGATATCAATCTAATCAAGATCTCGTTCAATATTATCAAATTCCTTTTTTCATGCTTCTTTTTTTCACAGGATGTATATTTGCTACACTTATTAGCCGATTGTCATGATAGAAATCAAGAGTGGAATTTTCTTATCATTATCATTATATCATCGGCAACTACTCTAAGGAAATGATCTGAACAATTTTTTCTTTTCTCAAAATTAAGATCTTTTTATATTTTATTAAAAAATAAGAAATAAAGTTAGATAAAAGCGAATTCACATTGATAAATTGTTAGCTATTGACTAAGATTCATTTTAGATGTTCAGCTATGTCACACTTTGCAAAGCGTGTGATTACCTTTTTGACCATTTCTCTCTCTCTGTCTTATGATCAAAAGTGATTATTCGGGATATCCCTTCGAATCATGTGATTGAAGATGGAACCCCTACGGGTGGGTGTGGGGTGTTGATGTAGAGAATAACCACGCCCACAACCAACGTTACCCACGCCGGCACACACATTCACATTCTTATTTATTCTTTGATCAACTGAATAGACGGAAGTCGTTTGCTCAGAAGAAAAAATTGAAATTGCTAGATTCTATTTATCGCCGCTTTTTAGAGATACATCACTTTACTGTTCAATTGACCACTCTCATGTTTGCCCATGATTATTAAAGCAGCCGACAGGTTGTCGGAAGATACATATTCAAGCCCTTTTTTTCGTATTACGAGCCTCTTTTAAGTAGCTTTTCATATTTTTTGAAATATACCACTGCTGATGCTTCATGAAGATTTTAAAACTTGTAATGGTCACGAACAGATAAAATGCTAGTTTGTTGTCATCTTTAGTTCAATATTCACTATCATGACTTTTCTATAAGCGTTTTAGCAAAGTACAAAAACACAAACTGTAGCGTTTACATATGTGTTCGGCAATTTATTATTGTCTGAGTAATCAAATAGAAAAAGATTTCGTTAAGAAACGTCCGTTTACAATATTCATTCTATGAACTTGTTGACACAATAGTTTTATTCATTCTATTTATTGTTATCACCTGGTTGTTCGCCATAATAGTAATGTTGCTTGAGTTTATCACCATGTGGTCCAGCGTTAACATGAGGTTCTTGAGTGCCTCTACCACCTTCTTCAGCATAGGTGCGGGCTGAATCATGTCGAAGATCAATTAAATGGCCGTCGGCATTTTTGTAGGTATACTGTCGTATCCACCGATTACCGTTTCCATTTTTCCGAGCTTCTGGGTTTCTGTCTTCTACCGGT